CTCATTAATACACAAATAAGAAATCGTTGTGTTAACTTAAACAGTGCACTTACTATATTCAGAGTGCATTTCAAGGTGAGAGTTATCTGCAAAGATGATTTTTATAAAATCCTATTCTATCCATGAAAGCTCATGAGACCATCTACATGTTTTGTTAGTCTTTATGGTGCTGCTAGACTTATTCATTGTTTTAAGGTTTTCTTATTCAGAGAGGCTGATCTGATGGCATCTTGTAAAATTTGAGTTCCATCCAGAACTATCTACATTTCATACACTGCAGTACCTTAAAGCAGTGGTTTTCAAACTTTTTTTTTTTTGCATGACCCAATCGAAGAAAATTGTAGATACCCACTGTGACGTTATTGGGTTTTAATGTGAGCAGGCAGATCATTGTTGCGCCCGCTGTTGTGTGTTTGCCCCAAATTCTGTGCAAAGTGGACCAAGTGAGGTATCTAATGAAAGCTTATGCTATGCTAATTCTATTTGTGCTGCTCATATACATGTATGATTTCTGTATGTAAAGTTATGAATATGGGCTCTGGACTTGTATTTTAAATGTGTGCTGTTTGGGAGACAGCCACAGGCATTGACCACCTATTGTGAGGGGTGATTACTGAGGCTACGTCTACACTACAAGTTTTCTCGGCAAAAACTATGCTAATGAGGGACTCATTTGAATAGTGTCTGCCGATCCATTTTTGTTCTGGGTTTTTTGCGTAAAAACAAGCAGTATGGACATTTTCTTTTTGCACAAAAACCCCTTTTTCCACAAGATCAGTACACCTTTTTGGGGGGCATAAGGATCTTGCAGAAAAGGGATTTTTTGTGGAAAAAAGAAAATGTCTACACTGATTGTTTTTGTGCAAAAACCCCAGTGCAAAGAAGGATAGGCAGAAAATATGCAAATGAGATCGCAACTCATGCAAATGAGTCCCTTAGCATATTTTTTGCCGAGAAAACTCATAGTGTAGATGTAGCCTCAGTGAATAGCTGTGCTGCATGGACAATGGCTCTTAAGTGTTGCCAATAAACACCTGAGGAATTCTGCTGTGAACTTGCAGACCAGCAAGTACTTCATGGCTGTTTGCAAGAAAAGGGCATGGACAGAAAACTGATCACATGATCAACTAACATTTTCAGAGGTACCATCACTCAAGAAACAATGGAATTCCCTCTGCATAGGTAAGATTGTAAAAGGATAATGGGGGTTCCTCCATCTTTGTCTTCGATCCTGCCCTTCATTTCAGAAGCATCTTCACTATGTATAAAGGGCCCAGAAGGATCTGTTGACCCATCCTAACACAGGATGTACTTCAGAGACTTTTAAGAGAGCAGTGTATTATATCTCTGCTAACAGTCTGCATGAAGAACTTGGTGAATGGTGTATGTAAGGTTCTTTAACAATTCTACTCTCAACCTTTTCTTTCTTTTTATTAATAAACCTTTCGATTCTCACGGATTGACAGGGCTTGCTCTTTTGGGTAAGATCTGAGGCATTAATTGACCTGGGAATGTGGCTGGTCCTTTGGGCAGAGGCGGCAGGTTTGTATAATTTTGGTGATGTTCAGAATGGGTCTAGTCCCCCCCATGCGCCCACCCACCCGTCCTGTAAGCCGATATATAGTTTATTAAATAATGTAAAAACGGACTGGAAACTGTAAGCATTTAACAGTTTCCCTTTATTGCACAATATCACTATCGTAAGAAAAAATTATTTAACTAAGAATATCAATGGACCACTTTTTCACATCAAAGAATTTTTTTAAAATTTACTCTTTGACCCCCATTAGCCTCACCCCTGACCCCTGTTAACCACACCCCTGACTCCCATTAGCCAGGCATCTGAAGGAAACACTCTTGGGGCAAAATGGACGCATGACCAGAAGTAAAAGGTGTCATGTGACCCCCCTCTACGGACTTTTCCCACCATCCTCCTACCAATAGGGATTAGTTTGGCCCCCCACCAAATCCCCCTCATGCAAACTATCCTACAATAGGATTAACCCAATGTGTGTCACATTAACTCGAGGGCGGGGGGCGGGGAGGTAGAGAGGCTGGGGGAAGTGTTCCCTCTGGGTATGTCTACACTGCCACCCTAGTTCGAACTAGGGTGGCTAATGTAGGCATTCGAAGTTGCAAATGAAGCCCGGGATTTAAATATCCCAGGCTTCATTTGCATCTTGCCGGGCGCCGCCATTTTTAAATCCCCGTTAGTGCGGACTTGGTGCCTGCGGCTACATGCGACACAGAGTAGGTAGTTTGAATTAGGCTCTCTAATTCGAACTACCATTACTCCTCGTGGGCCGGGGCCCACTCCAGGCAGGACCGGGGGAGAGACCCAGCTCCAAATATTGGTGGAGCAAGGCCCCCGGCTCTGAATATGCTGGAGCATGGGCACCACGAGCCCATATAACTCTCCGGCCATGCCTCTGGGACCAGGAGAACCTGACTGGAGTTGGTGAGGTTGGTTTTATGACCTCTCATCTGTGGGAAGCGTGGTGCTGGTTGTGGCATAGCTAAAGCTGAAGTGTCTAAGACGACAGCTTGTGAGGCTTCTGGCTGGCCAGAGTGGTAACTAAAGTGCTCTGTGTGACTGGTTTGGTGCCTTATAAAAGAGGACCCCAGTCCTGAGCTGTAAGTAGCTCTGGTTCTAAGCAGTTCACCCAGATTTGACCCTCACCTGTTATATTACACCCATGACCCAACATAATTTGACTAGAGTGTGGGCTGCAGATGAGAGCTTTGGGATGTAGAAGGGAGCTCCAGCTTTGGGGGGAGAGATCAGGGCTGGGGCAGAAGGGGCTTACCTTGAGTGGCTCCCAGTCAGCAGTGCAGCAGAGGTGCTAAGCCAGGCTTTCTGCCTTTCCCCAAGCACCGTAGACCTTGCTGCCCCCAGTAGCAACCAGCAGCATGATCTGGTTCCCAGCCAATGGGAATGCAGAGCTAGTGCTTGGGGCAGAGGCAGTGCACAGAGCCCTGTGTGTTCTTCTCCTCCCCCCCTGGAGCTGGGCTTGCTGCCTGCTGCTTCTGCAGCGCAGCAGAGTTTGCGGCACCTGAAAGGCAGGTAGCCTGCCTTAGCACCCCTCAATGGTCACCTGGTCCCCCTGCAGCAACGAGAGGTGGTGCCTGATATTCCACACCCCAGTACTGAGTCAGGACCCACAGTTTGAAAACCACTGCCTTAAAGGAGTGTACAGTCATCATAAAACTGTGGGCTAAATGAGTGGCTCTCAATCTTTCCAGGTGACTGTACCCCTTTCAGGACTCTGATTTGTCTTGAATTACTCCAAGTTTCATCTCACTTAAAAACTACTTCCTTACAAAATCATACATCATATCAAAGTATCACAGCACACTATCACTGAAAAATTGCTTACTTTTTCATTTTTACCATTAATTATAAAATACATTGATTGGAATATAAATCCTGTACTTACATTTCAGTGTATCGCGGATAGAGTCATACGGACAAGTCATTGTCAGTGTGAAATTTTAGTTTGCACTGACTTTGTGAGTGCTTTTTATATAGCCTATCATGGCAAATCTCCAGATGGGTTGATGTATCCCTCAAAAGAGTTGTGTGTCCCCCTAGGGGTTTGCGTATCTCTGGTTGAGAAACACTGTACTAGATTATTCCCTCTGGTCAGAGTCAGAGGGGATAAACACCCGCTGGATCCCATGCAGAAACACAAGCTCTTTCCTCTATGGCCTTGTCTTTCCCAAGCCCCATGTAAGACTTTCCCTCAGGCTCTTTCAGAATCTACCATGTAAAGTCATGAGGAAATAAATTGGGAGTAGTGTTTGGGAGAAAGCTGCTCGTTAGGGGAAATCACACCTCAAATTAATGATGCCTGGGCAGCATTACTTAGAAACTATCCTCCTCCTGGGAACCACCATAAATGGGGCACCAGCTGCAGGGAGAGCACCTGTGGCAGCACATCTCAGTTGTACCTGTGCTCCCAAAAGGACAAGGAAAGGGCTGCAGCAGTAGGAAGCCAGTGTAGAACCATGAGCACTTGCTGAGGGTGTTCCTAATCTCTGGAACTCTTGTGATCTGCATAAGTCTTGGAGAACCACTGGGTTTGAGGGACCAAATCCCCAACTGGAAGCCCAGGTGTCCAAACCCTCCCTCCCCTAGGGAGCAACGCCACAGAAACACATGCTTTCCTGTCCCTATATGGTTTATTCCCATGTAAAGGATGCTCATCTAGCCCTATTCTAAAACAGTATTTATGAGACTCACAGCACACAAGTTTTTAAATAGGAGAATGTAAACATCTATGAGTCAGCAGTGTGATGCTGTTGCAAAAAAAGCAAATATGATTCTAGGATGCATTAACAGGTGTGTTATGAGCAAGACACGAGAAGTCATTCTTCCGCTCTACTCTGCACTAGTTAGGCCTCAATTGGAGTATTGTGTCCAGTTCTGGGCACCGCATTTCAAGAAAGATGTGGAGAAATTGGAGAGGGTCCAGAGAAGAGCAACGAGAATGATGAAAGGTCTAAAGAACATGACCTATGAGGGAAGGCTGAAGGAATTAGGTTTGTTTAGTTTAGAAAAGAGAAGATTGAGGGGGGACACGGTAGCAGTTTTCAGGTATCTAAAAGGGTGTCATAAGGAGGAGGGAGAAAACTTGTTCATCTTGGCCTCTGGGGATAGAACAAGAAGCAATGGGCTTAAACTGCAGCAAGGGAGGGTTAGGTTGGACATTAGGAAAAAGTTCCTAACTGACAGGGTAGTTAAACACTGGAATAAATTGCCCAGGGAGGCTGTGGAATCTCCATCTCTAAAGATATTTAAGAGTAGGTTAGATAAATGTCTATCAGGGATGGTCTAGACAGTATTTGGTCCTGCCATGGGGGCAGGGGACTGGACTCGATGACCTCTCGAGGTCTCTTCCAGTCCTAGTATCTATGATTATATGATCTAGTTGCCTTTTCCTGCATGTGTACAATTTGTGTGTGTATTTATTTATTTCCTTTGCATTTCACCTACTTACCTTGGATAGTGAAAACAAGCAGGTCATTCCCGATTTCACCTGCCCATGCTCTAACATGATGCAACTTCAGTGGGTTTCCAGAACCTAGAGGATTTGTTTAAAATAAAAGAGGTTCATTTACATTTTGAAAATCTATTAACATAACGGACCCCAGGCTGCTTCCACCGAAGTAAAACAGAAATGTACCGTACAAACATTTAAGGCAGCAACTCAGAATGGGCCAAGGGCTGTGTAATAATTATAATAATTTTCCCCTTTCCACTCGGGGTACTTTCATGTGGCCTTGTCTAATTGAAGGCTACTTAGTGTTTCTCAAATGCAGACATTCTGGATAACCTCAGCTCACTTTACACATGTAGCCCTTTTAAAATTAGTGGGATTGCTTAAGTGACAAAAAGGAGTAACAGTTGACCACATCGTTCTGTGCCTCACTTATGCCCCATTTTGCACTTTGGCTATTCTCCAGCTCATCCCACCTGGTCTCCCCATCTGTGCCACAACATCAAGGGAAGCTTGTGGGCCATATTCTGAGTCTTAGCCTCCTTTCTCTTCTGGCCTAAAGGAAAGGCTCCCATCTTAAAAAAAGGATCAATCATCTGAAATAAGAACATGTCAAACTACTTAGTAGGAATTTTAAAGGAAAAAGAGCTACTTTCTCCCAAGCCTCTGATATAACTCACTTCGGTAACTCACCAAATTACACTGGCTCCTATCCTGTTACCTTTGCTAGCATTGGTCAGCCTTATTCATTCACACCTGTTTCCACGAAACTCAATATCTAAATTATTCTGCACTTTGTTTAAAAAAACTGACTTTAAAAATATATCAGCACTCTGCCACCAAACAAGCATTGTCCTTCAGAGCACAGATTTGTTGCCACATGCTAGACTGCTACCATGTTCCTGAACTACATCTCTGTTTAATTAATAATCAGGATTAAGATTGTTTTCCAGAGAGCTACTTAAGTTATGCAAATGAGGTACTGATACAGAACTGCCTCTAGATGGCGCACACTGTCTATTTCTAGTTGTAGACCAGCATACAATTATGGTCCTGAATATTCAAAATCTACAGCCCAAAAGCCATTTTTGTCATATTTCTTGATGTGATCTAAAAAGAGTGAACAAAAGTTTGTGGAGAGGGGAAAAGAAGCGATCTTTCCCCTAAAATGTGTGTAAAAGCTTCTGATGTAGGAGAGAGAGATGGAACCCTATAAATTAAGTCCAAAGGAGGAAATGAGGAAACATTGTGTGTGTGTGTGTGTGTGTGTGTGTACTCACACACACACAAATATCTGTTATGTTCCAGACAGTTGCATAAAATGGCAATTCAACCAAAATATTTGTTTTCTGATGCTAAGGGAAATCAAGTCCTATGAAATACTTGCTGATGAAGTGAGGGAGATATGGAAATTGTCATTTCCCAGACATTCTCTGTTACACTCTGACCTATCAATTAAACACCATTATAAATCTTTCTTTATTACTTACCTTTCCTCTGCCGAGGAGATTTATATATTTTCCTCTTTCTCGACTGTTATCGAAGAGCAATTATTAGTGTCCTGGTCTTTGGGTGAATAATTCGGTCGTGCCGCTGTAAACAGTTGAGTTCGGGTTACTATGTGAAGCAATTTCTCTCTGCAAAACAAGAAGACAATTTGTCAAGCAAAACAGCAATTGTTAGATGTACGAGCTTGGTTTTGGGTAGCATGGGGGGGTTCTTAAAAAAACACGCTTTCCTTGTGGGCAGATTTTCACTGAACCACTGAAAAGGTGTAAATTTTTAAAAACGAAATTAGCGAGCTCTTAACTTAGCGCGGCATCTGAGCTGAAGGAAGACTCGGGGCTGATAATAATGAGCAGGGATTAGTTGTAACGAATCCTGAGAAATTTACGAAGCAACGGCCTTTGGCGAGTCAGCCTAAAAGCGATGTCTGGCGCCGACTTTCCGATGAGCTGCGGTGAATTTGCGTTACCGACAAGCGACCCCTCTCTCTCGCCTACCGGGTTGACTTTTTGCGCCTCCTTACTTTGCCTGGGCCCAGTAGGTCGCTCTGGGATAGCCGAGGAGCGGGGCAGGGATACTCAGGGCTGCCTGCTAGCCCCCCCGTCCAATACAGTCTCCCACCCGTTGCCCTCAACCCCCTTGAATGCTGAGGTCTGAGTGCGGGGAGCCAAGCCCCGAAGCCGGTATTTGCGCTCACAAATCATAAATGAGCCTCTGGCTGGCACCGCAAACACACGCAGCGGCTGCGGGGCTGGGGTGTCCTGCTACCTGCTGCCTGGCCGAGAGGCGGCGGCCCTGCGCCTGCGGCTCCCACCAGCGAGGAGCGCGGACCACCCAGATTGTCCCAAGCAGCTGCGAGCTGCCTCCGCTGCCTGCCTGGCCCAGCCTCAGGCTGCCTTTGCTGCCCCGCAAGCTCTGTCTCCCGTGCCCTGTTCCCGGGCGGCGCTCTCTGCCCGGCCTCCTCGCCACGGTCTGGCTCGGGGCTGGGAGAGGGCCCCGGGGCTGCGGCGGCCCCAGCAAAGGACAATCCCAGCCCGTGCGGGCCGAGCCCGGGGAGTTCCAGGGACTCCAAGGCATGTAAATCGAAGCAGCGGCGCTAGCCATGCCCTGCGCCTGGCCTGGGCGCTCCAGCGGGCGGCCACTCTCCGCTCCCAGTCCGCAAGCGGGCCCGAAAGCGCCAGGAAAGACCGGCCCCAGCCCGCTGCCTGCCCCGAAAGCGCCTCCACTGCTTCTGTCACCCCCTGGCCGCCACAAATCCCGCTCACCCTCGCGAAGTGCCTGAATCTCTTAGGCGGGGTGTGCCTCAAACCTCTCGGCGCCTGTGGGGCTCTATAAACGCGCGCATTAGGACTCAAGCAAATACTCCCAGCAGCTCTCAATAGTCCTGTTACCCCTACAGGCCCTGGCACAGTCATTATATACACACACAGCCCCCACGAGTCTTTGCATGTTCACACAGAGACACTTACATCTGCCCTGGGCTGTTTATTCTCCCCCCCCCCCCCCCCCCACCCGCATCCCCCTCCTGTTCTGTTTGTTACACTCTCCATCTCCCCACCACCACCCTAATTCCCTTCGCGTATCTATTGCGCACACCCATGCACCTAGTCACTACGTGCCAGAACTGAGAACTTACTCAGGAGTTAATGGGAAACACGAGGAGAAGGAAAAGACGAAGGAGAACCAATAATATTATTTAAATTGGCTTTGTTTGTTCCCTAACTTTAATCACACTCATTAGTCATATCAAAGACGCCTTTACCCCGCAAGGCAAAGCACTTTTTTGTGTGTGTGCCGGAAATACCGATGTTTTAGGAAATATTTTGAACGAGAATAGTTCCCAATTAATCGTTTTCTTGGCCAACTGTAGTCTGACGCTGCTGCAGACGACAAAATAAAAAAATGCTGACTGTTTATCTAGGTGTATAAAAGAGGCGAGGTTCTGTTCCTGCCTGTGTAATCGTGTATTTATTGCACGATAAAAACGCCAGTTTAGTAAGGAAAACTCTTGATATTAGTTTTCTCATTGTGTTGAACCGCATCAGCAATCCCCAAACTCAGAGCAGTAGCACTTGTATTCTAGTTTTCATTTACCTTTTTAATACTCCAGTCAGGATTATTCGATATTTTATTAGCGCAACAATATTTTACATTTGGGAAAATAAAATGTGAAACTCGAGAAGCATTTGTTGTGTATTTTAAATCAGTAACATTTATAAGATGCGTGTTGATATAATAATAGTTTCCAAGATGTTCCTGCTATAGAGAGTTACTTTCTTTCCGTCAAAGAGCGAGTTAGAAGTAAGAACCAGGTTTTAACTGCAGTAACAAAAAAAGATTTTAAAAGTCCCATTAGATTAAGAGAACCACTAATATAAAGCCATCAAATTTTAAATAACCAAAATAATAAAATCGCCGCCGCATCTTAGAAAATTGTTGAAGATGTTTTGAATTATCCCTATAAACCAAGCAATCAAAAGTCTGAAAGGTTTTTTTCCCCTCCCACAATAGAAAGCTAAAGAGCATATGCAGGTTTAATACAGACCCTAACAAAGTATGAAGAAAATAATGTTAAAGACTCTTCCTAAAGCGCCACATTACAGTCGTTCCCTAATTTCGAACGCTGTTTACGTTTCCATTGTCTGGTCCAACTTTTAATTAACCCATCTATTAAAAAGGGGTCACTATATCGATTTCTCAATTGTACCAGCACCGAGGAGGTTGGGGGAAGCGCCCGAAACGCTGCAAAAAGAACGATTCGGGTAAAGTACATTGTTTTTCGCACAAAACGGAAGCTTTGTTTGGGGTGGGTAAAATAAACCTTCATACAGCAAGTGAGCGATCCCATTATAAACGGAACAGCAGGCCGATCCTTTGAACCTCAGCGAGGTTAGAAGGAACAGTTGCAGGGCTGATAGATTTCTTTAAACCCCGTTGGGTTCTGGTACAGAAGATCGCTTGGTAGCGGATAGAAGCTCGAAGGGCGCCCACTGCATGGCTCGGTAGCCCCCGCCCCAGGGAGGAAAGGGTTAAGCAACCTACGTCTGACTCCCTACCACTCGCCCAGCTCGGTCGGAAGACTGACAGCTTCCAGCTGCGGCGCGCCAATCAACTCCCAGGCTGCGCGGGGCGCTGCCCAATGGCAGGGCGGCGGGCTGGGGCTGTCACTCATAGGTGAGGACTGACAGCGGGGCCGGGAGAAAAAGGAGCAGGAAAGAGCCAAGCAGCAGAGAGAGGCAGGGGA